TGTTCATGGCGTGTGTGTGGGGGGGGGGAGAGATGCCAGCGGAGTCAAGTTAGGCATTTTCTGAATTTTTGACAAGCTGAGCCCAAAAGGTTCACCATCACTGATCTATATAGTACTAGTTCTTGGTGTGTGGGGGTGCCTTCCAGTCAGTGTTAACTCCTGGTGACTGCTTGGACAAGTCCCTGCAGTTTTCTTGGCAAGATTTTCAGAATTGGCTTACCCTTGCCTCCTTAGGGCTGAGAGAGTGACTGGCCCAAGGTCACCCAGCTGGCTTTCGTGCCTAAAGCGGGGACTCACAGTCTCCCAGATTCTAGCCTGATGCCTAACTACTACAACAACCTGGATCTCTACTAATTCTCTAGCCTCATTCAAATGTCTGCTTTCAGATTATTTTTCCAGCCTCCATTTTTGCTCATCATGATTCCTTTTCCTCTTCTCAATATTTTATAAAATATAAATATTTCATCATGATTAAATTTAGGGTCCAGATCCTTCACAAATACCCTTTCATGAAATCACACATTTGGTTCATGATAAAGTCCAGACTGATAACAGTGGTAGAAACTAGTTTTGAAGCTCAGCAGATGCCCTGCCCTGCTGTCCCTTTTGTAATTCTGAAGAATGTCATCCTGAATGATAACACAGCATTTCAATGGCATATGGATTGGACACCCAAAGATGAGTCACCAATAGAAGCGAATATATGTAGCTCAGGGTTGAACTGTGGAGTCCTTGGGGTTCTCTGAGCCAAGGACTCCAAAGATGAGTAAGGCACATCCTTGTCACCCAGTCGCTCCTTTCAAAAGTTGACCAAGGAGTGAGGGACATGCAGGAGTGGCACAGGAGAAACTAGGAAGGGAAAACTAACAAAATACCTGTACATATACAATTTAGGTTCATATGCAAAGGATTTTGGATGCGGGCCTCCACCATTCAACTTATTCTGGAACTGAAATTCCTGCTACAGACAAACAAGGCCAGTGTGCAACAAATTGAAAACTGTCAAAATAACACAAAGATAGAAGGAGTTGGCTGATAATTTGCTGCCTAAACCTACACAAATTTAGGCTTAGGTACACCAAACTTTGAAAAGATTGCAATTAATCTCTCCATCTGATTAGTTAAACTGATCTCAATTAACATAGCATAATTTTTTTATCAGTATGAATGTTTAATAAAAATTTTGATAATTGCTTTCTGTTCTAACTCCAGGGCTACAATTGGGACACCGTGGTATTGTTGCACACCTATGAAAATTTATTTGGTATAGTGCAATAAAAAGGAAACTTTGGCACAAGAATATATAACAGCACACATGTAAGCATTGTTTAATAGACATTGGTATACAATATTTAAAAACAATCCTAAAAGTCAAATACAGTTTCAAGGCTTTGGTTTGTTGGTAATTATTTTTATATTAAATCATAGCACAGTGCAAAGATCTATAATACTATCTTATAAAGCAGTCTTCAGGGCAATTCAGTCACACAGTCACATTATGGCTGGGAACATCTGTGACAAGTTTTCTTAAAAAGGTGCCTTTATTGAGGTCAAGTCAATATCTTTATAAACACTTACAGAAAATATTCAAACTGGCACCTGGCAATTTTGACAGTGTATTCTACAAAATTAATGTGCTATGGACAAGGAAGTCAGAAGATCTGGCAAAATAAAATCCTGCATTACAAAGTGTATTATAAAAATAAATTATGTAGGAAACACCAAACAAAATCAGACAAATGCCAATTGGTTTGGACGCTTTGCAAAATACGTGTTTTTCCTTTCTTACCATCTAGTTTTAAAAAACAGCAAACACAGTTTCTTAAGAAATAAAAGTTGCACATGCACACACAGAAAAATCAAAATCCAACGGAAGCAGTAAAATATACTTCCACGAGTGATCAGTAGCATGGAAGATCAGAATTATAGAGGTGGAACTTTCACAGTGATCCAACCCAGAGGAGTGGAGAAGAAGTGCACAAGAATAACACGGAGTTGATGTGGCTTCTCATCTTGCATTTATGCGCACCTGACGAATGATGATGCTCTCTAATGGGGAAAAGCATAGTAAAGCAATAGCTGTTACCATGGAAAACATGAATGTTTATGAGGAACCATACTGCTTATTTTTTTTCATCCCATCATTATATTATAGATGCTTCAAAGTGACATTTGAAACTACCCAAGATTGCTAGAGTAGAACCTGGAGCACTCCAGAAAATATTTGTCCCTCATGTTCAGACACAGAAAAGGGATAATTCATTCCACTTGTTTAGAACAGAGCATCTTCATAGAAGACAATCAAGCCTTGTTTTTCCCTATCACCTGAACAATCAACAAGGTGAGGAAAACTTTATGGGGAAAGGGAGAACCACACGTGTCTTTCACATTCCTAACTTTGGCCTGTGCAAATTACTTGTGCTTCATATAATTTGTATTATGTGGACTTCCCATTTCTTCTTTGAGTCTTTATCCCATATACTTAGGAAACTGGGAGGGGGCATAGTTATTAAGACCCTCTAAATATAGGCAGTGCATCCAAGGTACTGGATAATGACCAAAATAATTACAATTCAAATAAATATTTGAATACATACATACATAAAGAGTGAATGCTTTTGTTTTCAACATTTTTTTTAGGAAAAAAAATCTAAAACTTAGCTTCTTTTAAAGAATGAAACATTATCTATCATCGTTGGCCCTGAAAGCAAATTATAATAATTTAAAATAGTACTGTGCTTCAGTTTGGCTCAAAACTATAATGTGGTGCAGAAGAGAGCAATTCAGGGTAGACTTAACCTCAGTCAAAGTAGAATTCATCCTAAGCCTATGGAGCTTCAGAAGGATTTCTTTTAAAAACAAAACAAAACTTCTTCTCACATAAAATGGCTTGTAGGGGATGGAGTTGGAGTACTGGATTCAGTGATGATTCGGTCAGTTCTACTGACTGACCTGCAATCAGATCACCATCAGTTGTCCTAATGGCAGCTTCTTAGATGAGTAGCATATTCAAGAAGGATGGTGGCAAAAAGACAGAAAGCGAGGTCTGTTTCCTTTTTACTTACAGTCATGCTGGAGTGATCAAGGATGGGCAGGGTAAAGTAGGTCTCATTCAAAACTGGCTCCCTAAGGAATACTGGGAGCTTTGGTAAAATTGCCTGAGCAAACTGCCTGAGGAAAAAAAAAAAAGAAAAAAAAAAAAGGACAGGGTGAATTGACAGGTCACACTAAACTCAGTCAATGGATTGTGGTCCAGCTTGGAAGATGATAAGCTTGCTGTTGCCTGAAAAGATGGCCAGGAGAATATCCAAGTGGGGCTTTGGAAGAAGAATCTCACCCCTTCCATCCCTGTCTAGAAATATGGAGCTAGGAGGTCTGTACAGTCTATGGTGAGGGCGGCAGGTTAAAAAAGTGTCTTTTTTTCACCATATTTACACAATGTTGCCCTTGAAAAACTCTAGACATGGAAGGAGGTGGCTGGGCTCTGACCACTTTCTCAGTGAAATAAGAGAAATGGATTCCTTCTAGGAATCTGGCCATGAAACTAATTCTTGTCCAGTTCTTATTTAAAACTTCAATTTGAGCAATAGAAAAGAAAATTACAGTATTAGCCTCTCACTGGAGGCAGAAACTCTCTTTCCATTATAAATGGCATTTGATGATGAAGTTAAAGAAAGCATTTGTGTACTTTAAAAGGACTATGTTTTTCATCTTATATATCACCATATTTTTTTACTCTGAGACCTCACCAATACCATAAGAAAAAAAGTATCCCCTTTCTTTCTTTAAGGATTTTCAGTTTTGGGTTTATTTATCCTATTTTTGCTTATACAGCATATATATTTGTATGCTTCAGACTGAGCTGTTAGGATCCAGTAAAAGGAATGGATAAAATACATTAGACAAAATATTAAGGTGCAGAGACATCAAACTGACAACAAACGTACTTATTGTCAAGGTCATAGTTTCCCAGTTTTAACATATGGCTGTGAAAGCTGAATCATCAGAAAACCTGAACAAAGAAAAATGTATGCCTTTGAATAGCAGTGCTAGAGAAAGTTATTGAGAATTGCTTGAACACCAAGAAGGACAAATTATTCCATCTTACATGAAGTAAAACAAAGTGGATCATTGGAAGCATTAATAATGAAGCTGAAACTTAGATATCTTGGACATATAATATGAAGACAAGAATCATTGGAGAAGACCCCAAGGCTTGGAAAAAGCAAAGGCAATTGAAAAAGAGACCAACAGAAGACAAGATGGCTACAAGCTATCACCAATGACGCAAGCATGAGCTTCCAAGAATTCAAAGAACCAGTTATGACAGACAATCCTTGTGTCTGTGGGGTCATGAAGAATCAGAAGAATCTGAATGATAGCACAACAAGGAGTGAGGAAATTACAGTTAATTTGGCCCATGGATTGTGGGGCATACTCAGTATAGTTAACTGTGCCTTTCTTTGAAAATTCTGGAAGGAGACTGAGTCTAATTCTTTATAAATGTCAAATGCAGTTGACATGAAGTTTATCATTTTCATAGTGATATATAAATGGTATTACACTATCATTGCTTTTTTTAAGATGGGGGTTCCTTTCATAATCTTGTTATCAAATCCAATAATTCTGTGTTAATTTTTCGTATATTAAATGTTTACTAGTGCAAAGATTCTCATACTTGCAAAGCAGTAAATGGTGATTATAGGGATGAGCCAATATACGTTATTATTATGGTTGGTCGCACAGTCAGCCAGATGTTTAGACTGGATTTGGCATTTTTATCCACCTATCTAGTCCTTCCCAAGAATCTGGGATAGGCAGATGTTATTGTTTGATGGTGTTAAAGATATCGTTGCAGGATATAAGCTGTTCCAGATAAAGCTGTAAATAATAATAATTATTATTTATGATTGCTCTCTGTTCCAGTTTAGGGATAGGTAAACCAAGTTTTGGAATTTTTCAAATGTATGGTTTGCAGAAGTGCCTCTTATGGGAAAAAGCTGATTAAATTAAATGCTGGTTAAATCAAAGTGAAATCAATAAATCCTGAGGTCAAATTTTAAAACCTATTCTACGACATTGCCACTAGATGGCAGTACTCTAACTTGACTCAAAAAGCAACCAATTCTCATTATACTTACTTGGAAGTATGATCCAAAGAAATTCATGAAGTTTACTGTCAGGTCACTATTCTGACTATTTTAAAAAGTAAAACTTGAAATTTATACCCATATTTGCTTTTTATAACTAATGTGATGGCGGTCTTTTAGCACATGGCTATTTGGTACCCCAAATATCAACTCTGAATATCCCAACCATATAAAAACATACTGATTAAATTAAATCATAGTAACTCAAAGTTACATTTCTTTCCTTAAATAATTTTCTGCAGAGCCATAGTTTACAGATTTCTCATCTGCCACTTCTGTGTTTGAACAACTTTAAAGACTCTTTCCTACAAATGCCCCACTGGAGTGTATCACATTTTGTAACTTCCAGAAGGTTAATATAATTAAATCCAAACACACTTCTGTTTGTTCTTGCATTCTTGGTTGATACTTTCCAACCTAGAAGTTCTTAATCATAATATACACAAAATTCCTAAAGCTGAACCTTGTCCAAGTAGTAAGATAGTTTTAACATGAAGTCAACTTTTATAATCACAAAATATTAGCTCAAGCTTTTGTAAAAGTTCAGTAAAGATTAAAGGAATTACACTGATTTGGGGGGGAAAAAATAACCCTCTGTGAAAATAAGCCCCAAAAGATGATCTCACTGCCAGGAAATGACAGTTTCGATCATGCTCACAAATGTCAGCAGCTAATATGCAATAAAAGCACATAAGAGCCTTCTAAAGCCACTGTTACTATAGTAGCTGGTGCTATAAGCCAGTTAAAACATGGTGGGGGGGGGTAGCTTACAGTGCAAATGTGGCAACTTATACTGTTATCAGAATGACCTCAAACCCAAATTAATTTTGAGAAGATATCTAAACTAGCAAATAATGCATTTAGTCCCCCGTCAAACCATATCTTGGGAAACCACCTGTTATTTTAGTGCTATTAAGGCATTATATGAAGAGCAATAGCTGAAGAAATGATCTAGGGTCTTACACTGCAGAACGTTAAGAATTGATTGGACAATAGCTGCCATCAATGGATGTTACACAGAGCCTATATTTCTAGCAAGATTTTTGTTTGCTCCAAAGATCCTTGAATCTAAGGGCCGGTACATATAACTCTAAGTTCGGGAGAAAGATTATGTGCTAGTTTTGTATTCAGGGAAGTATTCTGGGATAGCAGGCACAAGCTTCTTATTACTGCTAGTCTGCCCCTGTTGGTAGATTTTATTCTAAATTAAATCATGCGGTTCTCCCTTTCAAAGCTAAAGCATAGCTTTATTTTATCTGCCAAGCAACATAAAAAGCTATGGAAGAATCAATCTACCAAACCAATTAATGATTGCTGGTGAGTTGCAAAATCATAGTAAAATGGGTTCAATCTTTTTTCAATACTAAATGAAAATACTGAAAACATATCAACAAGGCCTGATTTGGTACTTCACCGATATCCCTTATTTCCATTCAAAACAAATTCACCCTTTATTTCACATGGTTATCAGGAATAAGAATCTATAGATTCAGCAGATGCAAGGGACAGAACTGCTATCTCAACAATGTATTAAAGCATACCTTTCCTTGGCTCATATAAATGAATAGCTGCCATTGGTTCCTATGGTCAGAGCATAGCCTTGTAATTGAAAATTTAATTCATCTTTTGCCCTAGCACTGGGTAGCCTGGTCTTTACCAAAAATCCCATGAGGTATAATAGGTTTGATAAAAATGAATATATTAATTCATCACATTTATATTCAGACAATTTCTTTTCTAAACCACATTCATTTTAGACTCTTCCTATCATTAGGGAATGTGGCACATGGCACAGATACAACCAAGGCTGGTTACATCTTCTCTATTGTACTAAAGATCGCTAGATAGCTTTTAATCCTACATGCATACTTATGGCTTTATCTCCTACTTTCCCCACAACAACAGTTGGGATTTATGCTTAAGGGAGGATTAGAACTTGTTCTGGTTCCTGGTTTCTAGCCCAGCACCTTAGCCACTATAGCAAACTGACTCAATATTATGTGAAAGTCTCAATTGACCACAGCCATGATGGGCAATTGAAATCAATATCAATGGGCCCACCTGGTGATGACCATGGCATATGAAAGTTTACAACTTGGAATATAAAAAGAGTAAATTAACAAATGAAAGGCAAGAAAGAAAAATAGATATGTTGCGTATCTGTGAAACTAAGAGAAAGGGGTAATATATCTAAATGAAGATAGTTGGACAAAAGTATAAGAAATGCTTGTGGTGACAGAAGGGTGTTGGCTGGAGATAAGAACATGTATGCAAATGATGCCATGCTGTTGACTGAGAACCCAAATGATTTGCAGGAAATGTTAGTCAGATTATATGATGCAAAATGTACTATGGATTTCCAGATTAATGAATGAAATACTAAGGTAGTTGTGCTTGATGGAGAAAATGGAGTGAATTATTGCAAGTAATACCTAAATGGTATTCATCTAGAGTAAGTAAATGAATGTGTACCTTGGTAGAATGCTTCCTAAATTGGGGAAATGGAGACAGATATTTGAAGATGTGTAAATATGGCTGAACGGTAATAAGTAGTATGTGGTCTGCTCTGAGGAATGAATGTTTGTTGAAAGAAGCTAAATTCTTCTACCTAAGTCGTTATATGGAAATGAGGGTTTTGCAGGAAAGGAGAAATTTAAAAATAAGTTGAATGTAATGGATACGATGTGCTTAATAAGCATGTGGGGGTGCTGAATGAATGTGAATTTAATACAAAAACAAGTGAGCAGTATGGAAGAAGTATGATGAGATGGTTTGGTCACCCACAGAAAATGAAAAAGGACCGAATTGCAAAACAAATATGTGAAGAAAAAGTGAATGGGTTAAGAGGAAAAGAACAACTAATAACGTTGTGGTTGGAGTTGATAAGATCCTCAAAAAGAAAGAGGTGAGAAATTTAAACAAGCGGTGCATGGATGTGGTGGAAGCAAGGTGACGTACAGAGAATGCTATTGGTGTTAACTAAATATAATTATATCTCTTTTTCTTTTTTCCTCCTTTCTTGTGTCTTTAGTTCCTTTTGCTTATTATTTCTCATTCCTTTTCTGTACTTTGTATACTGTTCCTTATCCCAAAAGAGAATACTGTGATGTGCATGTATGTATCATTTTACACTATATTTCCAACTACAAGAAGCTGGGGGCTGGGAACCAGGACAGGAAAAGAATTTGTTGTATGCTGCTTATTTAAGCAGGGAAAATCCATAGGAGCTGTGTTTGTTGTTGTTGTTTTAAATCACAACTTGTGAATCTAAGAGACTGACATGAAGAATTCAGATGCATTTGCAGATAAGGTTGCCTGTGAAATCTATTCAAGAGCCCCACATTCAGATGAGGGGAGGGCACAAACAGTTGTGAGAGAACAGCCTGCCTCCAAGCCCCTCAGAACTCCAGTAATGCTCACAGAAATGCAGAAATTGTAAAGCTCAAAATAGGGTTGGCTGTCCAAAGAAGACAGTGTTGTTGGAACAGAGTGGCACAGCACAGGGCACAAATGCCACATGTGCAGGAACCCTTCACCAGAGTAGCAAGGTATTATGGGAATTGGAAGTTCAATTAATCAGGCATCAGGCACTAAGCTGGAGGACAGTGAGATATCAAATTCAGAGTAAACTAAAATATCAATATCTCATCTTACTTAAAAAATTGCACTCTCATCATGATCTATGATATTTTGAGATCTCAGTATAGTTTGAGGAAAGAACTGCTTGTTTAAGTTCTTGCTGCTCTTAACTAATATGTTATTCATCTGGAATTTGAAATATCTGAAAACATTTCAGTACATAAATCCTCTAGTGATGAAGAAAATGTAGCTATCTTCCATAACTTCTTTCCAATTCGTGGTTTCTAACTATAGAAGACTTATCACTTATGGCACCATTTCAGTTATGACTCATTTGTTTATTCATATTTTACTTACAACCACTGATGGATGGCTATCTCTGTTTTATAGGCTTTCTCAAACAACTACATCTCTTCCCTTCAGAAGCTCTCACTATAGCCTTCTAATGAACAAATTCATTCTGTTTTAGCCAATATGACCATTTCATTTTTAAATTATGCATTGATTCCATGAAGATTCTTTTTTATTACCCTTCCTTCCAGTCCAGAATCTTAAGGAATCTGTTGCTGAATTTGAACAGATCATCCAATTGGAGGGGAGGAAAGGAAGGAAGGAATTTTGTATCAAGGTCCTTTCCACCAAATCTAGAAGTCTTTATTCCATTAGTTTGCTTTTAAGAAAGCTTCCGTCATAATTGAAGTCAGCACATCGTATAGAGATTTCTACTTTTAAAACATGCTTTCAAAAACAAGAGCAAAGCACTTCAAAAAATTCAATACAGACAGAAGACACACAGTCAAGAAGACAATGTCCAATCTACTCCTGTCATGGATTCAGGCCTTGACTCTGATTCAGAATGCCTTGTATTTAATCAGGTCAATACTCCAGTTTGTTTCAGAATCTTGTCAAGAGTGAGATATATAAAACACTATATAAAATTGTTATTGTTTTACTACCTAATTGATTTGTAATTCGTTGACATGATTGAGAATTTTAATGATCCTTCAGTTGAGCCTCACTTAACAAGGAGGAAAATTCTACAAGATTAAAGGCCAGTTCTTCAGTTCTTTGCCAAACTACTAATTCTCTAGCTGGGGTATTTCCATATTGCCAGTTTCTATCTGAGAAACATCAGAACTGAGGGAACAAACAATATGCCTTCTTTAATGAGCTGCAATTCAACAGTCAACTCCATTATTTCTCTGGCAAACTACTCATTTAGATGCCCTGAGAGCATCAAATGAGTATATAATGCACAAAAAAGTGATTATAAGAAAATAATCTCATAATTAAGAGGGAGAGTAGATGTTTGAAAATGTTAATCAGTAGCTCAATTTTAGAAGTGGCTGAACAAGGTTGACCTATGAGTTTTTAACTCAACTGAGGGGAAAAGAAGGGATTACTATATTCAGTAGGTAAGACATGCATGCATTAGTTGATGTGACAGCTTCAGCAGGTGTCCTTAGTACATGCAAACACTAAAAACCACACCGACGGGGCTTATTTCCATGGTAGCAGTAAAACCTGCACAACATACCCCCGAGATACTGCCCTCAGCCCTTCCCCCCACCAAGGGAGGCAGAGCTACTGGCTGAAGACTTCTTCAGTTCTATTTTCATAGACTGAGTCTCGGCACGAGGCTCGAATTTGGTCTGATTTCCTGATCCAGGGGCCGGCACTATTGGCTTCCCAGCTTTCATACCTTTAGATACAGGGATTCGGGTGGGTGTAGGTCTCTGGGATGACCCATCCTGTCCTGTCTGCAAGACAAAGAAGGAAAGAGGGGAAAAGCCACAATGTTAGACTTTTTATGCATTATTAATTTTATGCATTATTAATTTGTACACACAAACACACACATACATGTACACAAACAGACCCACACACTTATTATCAGCCGAGTGGCTTCGGTTGATCAATCCACTGCAGGACGGAGGCCTCTTCACTGAAGGTTATGGACTATAATCTAACATATTGGTCCAGTGCAGGTTGGTGGGTATGTTTTTCAACTTCCCTCGCAGTCTAGGGCTGGGCCAAAATCAACAGTCAGCTTCTTTGCCTACAGGAAGACTAGCATCTGGGACACATGCTCCTAGCTCAGCATCTTAATCACTATACTACCCTGGCTCTCCATATACACCTATACATACAGATACACACACACACACACAACTATTGCTTCTTATCTAGAAAGCATTTAAGACACATTTTCCATAATAAATATAGTTGGGGACTCAGTTTCCATAGATAAATATACTGTAGCTGGGGACTCAGTCCAAGAGCAATCTAACTCCTTTCAGCAAGCTGATGGAGTCTAGTATAGATTATGCAAAGGTTGGCAAGATGGCCTGTGTCAGTCCCACAAATGGCATTTGCACACTCACCCACCCATTGGAATTAAAATTTTAAAAATTCCAAATGTAACGAGATTCCGGGAAATGTGGGGAGATATTAGCCCTTTGAGGTAGGCCAGGTCATGAAACAAATACCACAAAAACTACTGGAACTCTATTGTTGTAGGGTATAATAACAGAATCTTGAAAGCCTGAAAAGGTTTCCTTCTGCCCCTCTTACAGTATACCAAAGAGAATCAAGGCAGGGTTATCTTGAGTTTCTCTCTCACCCTGTCTCCTTTGCCAGGGTTAAGTTGATGTGTATTTAACTGTTCTTGCATTCTTTCTTCAAGGTGATCTCCGTATTCCTATATAGAAGGGAAGTTAGGCTAATACACAAGACCACAGTGTCAGGACTTAAAAAGGTTATTAATTCGTGGACTAAAGCAGCATTTAGTGCAGTATTCCCCAACCTGGTACCCTTCTGATGTAATGGGATTGCAACTCCCAGAATTCCCTGCTAGTATGGCCAAAACTGCTTTGGCAGTTCATCTGGAAGATGCCAGATTGGAGAAGTACTTTGGTGACTTTTCTCAAAACTTTGGTATTCCTATTATGATCTAACTCCTTTTAGAATATCTGAAATCAGTGAGGTCTATCTAAGCTGCAGACATATCTATTATATACCACTTTGTCTGATAAAGCTTTGCCTAAAAAATAGAAGCCTGATGAAATGTAGATCAGTTGTATCAGAGATCATCAGTACCCACCAAAGGGTGCTACAATTCCCAGGAATCCCTGGGGAAAGAGGAAAGACCATTGGAGGATAGCTATGTCCTTAAAGCTGATCATGTCCATTCATTAGAACTGGTAGTGGGACCATTACATCTACACAGCACATTCGTTTTACCCAACAAGTAGTTTGTAGCAATTTGCAAACTTGTTAGGAAGGCAGATATAATCTTAACCGTATTTACATTCACAATATATGATTCACTGCAAAGTAACCTTCATTAAACTTACACTCCTCAAGTATCAATAATCCAAACTCCTACAATTTGAGTACAGCCATGATTGTGGGAACAACAGATAAGCCTTTGCAAAGAAACTTAACTGGTTGTTTCAGAGACCAAGCATAAACTATTTGTTTGAATATACAATTAGGACTTTGTAGAAACTTAAAATGTCAACTGTCTTTTCAACTTCCCCATTCCAGACTGGAAAAATAAATTAATAAAAAGAACAAAACTACCTTTACAAGCTTTCAAGCATCATCATAAAAGAGATACTCAGAACTGATATTGAAACATTTAAAACAATAACAATCATCACAATAACAATAATAACCTGCTATATTTCTACTGGTAATATAAGTATAACTATTAATAAGTTAATTCATTATGGAATCAAGCAGTTTGGAAAGCTTGCCTAAGTTTCATTAACCTGAACCTCCCTTGTCAGATATCTGAATGGTTATTCTCAGTAGGAAGATTTAAAAGAAAGACATTGGTCAGCCCTCCAATCAAAATAACAGACAAAAAAGGAAGTGTTGCTGATGCTAATTAATGCTCTAGAGCAAACTCTCCTAAAAAGCAAGTGCAGGATCTTTCTGGCAGCTTAATCATGAATAGCTACAGTTCAGCAACTTCTCTCCCTGAGCACTCTGGCTGGCCAAGATCAAAGATTCTTCTGTTTCTGGTCTGGGAGGATGCAATGCAGGTAGTTCTCAAGTTACAACAGTAATTGGCCTGGAATTTCCATCACTAAGTGATGTGGTCATAAAGCACAATGTCATGTGACCACATCGCCTAGCCACGGCAATCCCGGCAATCCCCATTGCCGTCATTAACCAAATTCCACTGGTTGTTAGCCGAGAACCCAACCCAATCCAAGCCATTCCTGGCTTGGTCCTTCCCAGCCCCAAGCCTCGATTCTTCCAAGGTAAGGGACTGCCTCCCCTTCAATTCCCCCCAACCACCTATTCTCCCCCATCTCTGCCCTTTTGGCCACCCTGCTCCCTGCCTTGCAGGGCAGCAAGCAGCCGCAGAACCGCGTGGCTCTGGGGCTGCTTGTCACACTGCAGCTCAAGGGCTTCTTGGCTGGGGCTGCAAGAAGTCTCTGAGCTGCAGTGCAGTGCAAAGCCACAGCTGCCCTGGAACCTCAGCCACCCCAGGAAGCTGCAGCTGCCCCATCCTAACCCAGCAGTGCGGCGCAAAGCCGCAGTCATCCTGGGAAGCTGCAGCCGCCCCAGCCCAGTCCCAGCCATAGTCACCCTTGCCACCCTGCACTCCAAAGCCCCTGCCGCCCTGCACTCCACCACCCCAGCTGCCCTTCGCGGTCTTCTTGCTCCCACTGCTGACAAGGCGTGACTGCCTTGGCCATTTGCAAGGTGGCTGCTGGTGACATGAGGCCATCTTCCCCAGGTCTTGTGAGGAAACCACCATGCACAACCTGGGGAAGAAAGCCTAGTGTGGCTAGCAGCTGCTTCACAAAGGGCCAGGGCGGTCACACCTTGTCAGCATCAGGAGCAAGAAGATGGCAAAGGTCAACTAGGGCAGCAGGGGCCACAAAGTGTAGGGGACCAAAAGAGCATAGATGGGGGGGGGAGATAGGCAGGTGGGGGGAATTGAAGCATCCCTGCAGTCATAAGTGTGGGCGGGCTGCCAAGTACCTGAATTTTGACCATGTGACCACAGGGGCGCTTCAACGGCCATAACTTTGGGGAACAGTCATAAGTCCCTTTGTTTAGTGCTGCCATAACTTCAGACAGTCACTGAATGTATGGTCATTAGGCAAGGACTACCTGTAGCTGTAAAACAGGGCTGGAAAACTCAGGCTTGGGAATGTCAGCTATGTAGGATCCTTATTCTAAGCTTAGTCAACCTCACAGGATTGTTGGAAGGCTAAAACACTATTCTTGGCTTCTTTCCATCTGAATGCCCTAACTTTCTGCCATTCTAGGAGAAAAGGGGCATTAGGATGATACAAACATATGAATTTACTCTCTGTAGGGCAGGGCAGGGCAGGGCTGGCAACCTTCACCCATGGGCTACTGGTAGTTCCCAGCCTCCCCAGAAGAGATGAAAATCCAATCATCCCTTCTAAACCAACTGAGGAAGGAATCCAACTTCCCACTTCCAAATAATGGGAATTAATCAAAAGGGCTGACAGCACTTCCAACCCTTCCTCTGCCTCAACTTCAAGGCAGAGAGGGCTCTGTCTGTACTGAGTGCCCATGGAGAGAGAGATGGAAGGAGGAACAAAGAACCCCTCCTTTGTACTTGTCTTCTGCTGTCAGGTCTCCAACTTGAGATCCAGGAGCAAAGGAGACATTCTCCCCAGGAAGGGGCAGGAGCAGCATGGGGAGTAAAGGAAGGAAAGTGAGTCTTTTCCATGCTAGTTCTCCTGGCACCCAAAGCACTAGCTTGTCTCCCCAGAGTGGCAGCTGAACAGTCCTTTTCCCACCTTCCTCCAGGGGAAAGGAAATGGGGTGGAAGTGGCACTTCTCACCCTGACAGTAAGGCTGCCCATGGGTGCTGGCAGAAGAGGGCAGCTTCACCTCCAGGCTGCTAGGAATGGAACTGCAGGTCTGTTGCCCTGCAGGGAACTTTTTTATACATGCATATAAATGAGCATACGTATGCACACCTGTGATAGGTGGAGCTGCAGCAAAGGTGGGGTAGTTGTATCATGGGAGTGCCACTTCCCCTCCTCATACACCTCCCAAACCTCCCCACAGTGCACGGTGCACTGAACTCACTAGGGCCACATATCAGCAATCTATTAATATAGTGAAGATGTGTGTCAAAGTGACAACTCTACCTATCTACTGGAAGACCACTGGGCACCTATGTAAAAGACTGCCTGTTGCTCAGCAGCACTTTACATGCAGAGGATGGCAGGCAGCTAAATGACGGGGAAAGTGCCAACATACCCTTGTAGTCAGTCATACCTTCCATTGTACCTTCCATGGGAGAAGTGGGTCTTTTCCATCCTTCTTTCTCCCATTACCCTTGGCTCCCATGGATGGCAGGAGAAAAGTGGGGAAGATTCTTTGCTGTCAAATCTCCAATTCCGCAGAGATCAGAGAACTGACCACAAAATACTACATCCTCCCTTTCTCCCCTACTTGGGGGGAAGTTAGCTGCTTAGAGTCAAGAGAATGAGTATGGCTTGTGCCAGTAGAAGTGAAAAAATGCCACTTTTGCAATGGAGCAAGGAAAGGCAACAGCAGGCTGAGGATGGGCTGAAGATCTTGTATGTCCAGGTCTTCAAGAAATGTGTCATTCTTGTGCAGGGGCAAACAGGATGCGCTGACAAGCCCCAAGGCTTACAGAGAATAACTGGGGAAACTAGTATGCTTAGCTTTGAGAAAAGACAATGGGGAAAGGGATGGGGGGAGATACTGTGGCATTCTTCAAGTATCAAAATTGGTACTGCACCAAAGAAGGTTAAGACATGCTTGTATCATCCTAGAAGCAAGACAGTGAATCATGATCTTAAATTACAGGAAGGAAGATTGTGGCTGAACATTACAGTATATTTCCTAACAATAAGATTGGTTTGAAGGTGGCTCCACCATTAGTTATGTTCAAGTATGGTTGGACAGCCTTCAGTCAGAGACACTATGATTTGGACTGAATGAACACCTCCATAATTCCTGTCCCTGTTGGCTGAGGCTAATGTTCAACAATATCTGAAGGCTATAAGCTCTCCACCCCTGTAATAAATGATTTGATTTCCTAGCTCAGAACAATATGAATCTATGTAACTTTAAACTTAGCATGACTTACAGTGGTACCTCGAGTCATGAATGCTTCTGTTCATGAACAATTCGGTTCATGAACAGCACCATTT